TGCCTCCCACAACCAATTTGACCTGACAATACCGCCGGGCTTCTCGGATGCATCTCTCCCCGAGCATTAAATATGTATCAGTGCGGGGACATCGCCCTCGTAATGTACCCTCTTCACTCTGCTCTTTTTAAACTATGATTTTAAGTGAAACACTTATTGTTAAAACTCCTGACGTATAGAACAGGCCATCTTGGATTTATTTTACACATCGTCTTTGGGCGATGAGTACCACCTACTAACTGAAAATCCGTTGTTGTCACGTCAGTACCTTCTATTTTCTACCGCTCCCAAACACTCCAATATAGCAGTACAATACTTTAAGATGCTAATATCGTTGAAACGAGCGACAAAAAAACTTACAACATAAGCTTTCTACTAGATTTTCTATAACTTGACAAGCGGATGCTAAGTACCAAAGGTGAACACACTTCTTTGCTTTGGGGTACTTTGCAGTACTCGTTCTTTTGGTTAGACAAAATAACTATACAATTGTATAATTAGAACAACTCGATGAAATGCATTGATAGATAGTCTTTTTCAAAGTCTAATCCATCCTTTCCCAAATCAAATTGAACCTTTTTTTGTTCAATATCATTCCCAAAATTCATCATATCGCCAGTTGGTCCATCATTACCTATTACCGTCGTTCCCACCTCTTCAGATGGGACTAAAACATAAAATACTAAAAAATACTGAGGTAAAACAATAATTAAAAATCACAATGAATTTTTGATTTTTTTTTCACCCACCTTCTATGTTCTTTATTGCAAAATGAATTATTTAAAGCATTCCCCTCTATTTTTTATTTGATTTGTATCTGGACATTCACAGAAGTTCATATTACAAAACATTTTTTCACACAGTCAAAACACTAACTGTAATGCCAGTGTGCTGCACATGGACGGCACATGCCATGAGAAACCAGTCAGTGCTGGCAGTCGGTCTATGGGGGGGGGGGGGGCAAGGAAGTCTCGAGCTGTAGGGTTTTGGATGGAGTGATTGGTGTGAAACTTTTGGAATCGGGGACAGACATTTCGTTAATAAGGGGAATATTTAGGCCGTTGTGAATGGTTAGTGACATAATAAGGAGCTTTGACGATTTGTCTGAGGACTTTTGATTGGAAGGATTGAAAGCACTGGTTGTTCGATGGCGTGGCAGAACCCCACAGTTTTCTGTAAGTCCAAAATGGTTTAAACTCTTGTAAAAGGTTAGTTTAGTGCTGACGGTAATACGGATTCCGGTTTAGAAGCCTTCGAAATTGTCCAAGTTCTCTGTTAAGTTTTTCTCTTTTAAATCTTATTTGGGGATTGCGCGTCAGTCTGCTGTCAATATATAATCATATTATCTGACATGAATTGAAATCAGTATATATTTGTTATTGACATACAGTGGAAAGATGACGTTTTCACTCTGGGATGATAAACAGGATGGTACCAAGAACGCTCCCTTGTGGGACGCCGGCTTGTATCTGTCTGAATTCCGAGAACTATGTGCCGTCTTCACCCTGAAGCAGCAGACCGTTAGATAGGATTTCAGGATAAGGTAACAAGGAATGTGTAGGAAGCGTCTAATTTTATAAAGCATGTTCCGGACCTTATTAAAAGCCTGTGCTACATCCAGGCTCGCACCCAAGAAATACTTTTTATTCTCTAGACTTTGAAACCTTGTTGGATCGTGAAATGATGATGACGGAAGCCGAATTGAGAAAGAAACAGAATAGAAAAATTATAGGGAAAGATAAGGCTAACTAGCCCGAAATATACGTCCTTGATCTTGAGGAGAACTTAAGGACATATAATCAAATTTCGTTCAGATTCATAGGAAGAAAACATTGAGGAACCACTTTTCGTTTAAAAAAAGAAACAACCTAGATCATTTACACACAAAAAAAAATCATAACCTCCCTAAAAACCTAACTGAAAGTATATGACTTTTGTTTATTCTTCACTACTCTTTATCCTTTTCTTTCTTGCCCACGTACGTTCATAAATATTTCATCCCTCCGCAGCTTCCAAAAAAATTAATTTAATTGAAAATGCAATTCGTGCGGTACGTCAGCCCTTGAAGGCGGAAAGAAAAATACGATATTTCCTAAGGGCATATAGGCTGGAACGTAGTGACCCTCGGCCCAGATACACCGGTAGAGGTCACCCTCCTCTCATCTTCTCGACCCTGACCCAGAACAAGATGTTTCAAGCTCAAAGGACAGCCGGAAACGGATTCACAAAACTCGAAAAAATTCCCATCGTTCCGGGGATTTTTACAAATCGCAAAAACTCCGTTCAAAATTTTAGATGCAGTAGTTGTGATGCGGTTTGAGGGAATGGTTGTGGTCTTGTCCTGATGTTTTAGTGAAGGGTTAATCTAATTATTAATTCCTTGGGTTTGTGAGAGGGAGCCATTACTACATATCCCCGCACTCAACCGCCAACAGTTAGTATTTAGTGAGTGCTTTACCTACAGCTACCACAGTTTCGATTGCCCGCGGGACGAAGCTACTTCATTCCGAACTCTTCGGTGACAATCCGTTTTTCCCATTATTCAAACATCGACTTATAATCTTCGGTATTTTTCTTTCTCTTTTTTGTTTTAACTTTCAGCCCGCCGTCGAATGCGTACGCGAACAAAGCGAGATAAATCACGGTTATTACGAGATCGGAACAAAAGGCTTCGTGGGATTTGAGGCAATCCGATAATAATTTATAAGATAATAAGACCATTGGGTTATTTATTGTGAGCCGCTGAACGGAAAATTGAGGAAACCTTAAGATTGTATCGTCCACTACGGCAAGAAAGTCGCTGACCCCTTTGTATTGTTTGTTATCTTCTCGTATTTCGCGTGTACTGATGATTTGATAAAGACAGGGGTCTCCTGGCATCACTCCTTCACAATGCATCATTCCGAACGAGTCATGAGATACCGATTTCAGATTAACGCAGTCTAGCCTAAGGCCACTCCTTTTCCACCATTCCAACTTTTGTTTATTGCTTTTGTCATTCCTCGACCTGATAAATAGCTCGTAAACGGTGCTAAATTTTATATAATCTATAATTATATTTGATTTATGGCAATTATTTTCGTCTGGAAACTTTTATTACCTATTATCAAAATCAATGTTTTCATTCTTGACCTTTAGACTTGATGTTTTTAATATTTCCTTCCAAACCATCCATTGTATTTAACTTTTTTTTTTAAACCAACACAGATTCTTACTATACACTGTATCTCCGAGCAACACTTTCAACGAAAAAGCCATAACTTTTTTGAAGTAAATTATACTTAAGAGAAATACTGAATTAGATTCGCCTGGATAAAACAGGCCCGAGAAAAGTGATGGTTGTTTAAATAAAATTAAATTAAGTTTAATTTGGCCAGCCTTGCCTGGAAGAATCTGCCCTCTCGGGGGCCCTCCACCCCTTTCCTATTTAAATCTAATTAATACATTTGATTAAGATTACTCTGCGAGAAAGTGTCGGACTCCTTCAAGAGAAAAAGTTAGGTTGATTTTTCAAAAATTAAGCGAAAAACTCCCACGTAGTTTATTTTTTATACCAATAAAACTGTGACGCTCCGGGGAACGGTCTAGGGTTGAAAATATTAATTAAGTATAAAATAATGGAGGAAAGCAAGACTATTCTTATTCTTCTTAAAAAGAATATAATCAATAAACAGTATCTGGGTAAATGGGCATCACCTGAGAAAAGCGCGAAAGACCCCCGAGTCAGGTCACCCCTTGCATAGACACAATTGGTTTTTATAAATGAGATCTATGCTTTTTTAATGGTCTTGTAGTTGTTAATACTAAACATTATTTCCATATTTACTCGTAGTCCTGAAAATGACATGAGGATCTTTTTCGTCCTCACCGAGCACGTGGCCTTATAGGACGTTTTGTTTCTCAAGGTGAGAGACGTCGAACTTCTGCTTGCGGATGTGCTACTCGCAAGTCCGGTGTAGAAGTCGGCCCCCTAAGGACCGAGACGAACTTCCTCTCCACTTGCCCCTTCTGAGGGGGAGGGTAGACATTGTGCAACCGACCGTGTACCGCATAGCAAAAGGAGGCCAAAGGACGCGTCTGTCCGGCATTCCAGCCATGCTCCCCTAGGCATGGCAACTGTCTCCCCAGGGCCTCCGGATACCGTTCCGTCCACGGATTTTTTTTAAGTGGATTGCTAACCATCCCTTGAGGAACTCTGTCTTCGGTAGAGGAAGCTGTTGAACAGCACCACCAAATCAAAAGGGCATCCTTGCCCCATTCTTCCTTTTCTTCTAATCACAACAAACCGATGCTTCCAAGTAACTCAATGCACCTCTAACTATTCAATTTATGCCATTTTAGACGGCGTCATCCAGGGAACGCTTGATTCCTTACTCCTCTCCTCCTCTTGGACTTTACCTGGACAAATTTGGAAGACACATACTAAAACTACTCAAATATGAAACGCGAAAAAGACCACTTGTCAACTATCACAATAACACAAAAGTATTATACTCTGCCCATCGTCCCAGTTTGGACCTACGGATTTGAACCGTACGAGGCAACCAAGCGGTCCAACATCAACAAAATCCTTACAATCCAAAATTCTACGCACAATACTTGATCTAAATAATACAGTCTACTTTGATCTAAACTGCCAATACCACAGATTTCATTCCAAACTTCCTCAATATTGTAATCCAGTAATTCGCAACCGATCAGCTCAACCCTTCCTTCCAACCCCTACTAGAGACAGAAGACATCGTGCAGGTGGCCGCACGACCATCTTCTGTTTTGTCGGTACCCCTGAGGGTCTGCTGATTACCTCAAGCCATAATGGCCAATTACGACTACCTTCACTTGACGGTGGCCGTTCAAATCTATCATGCCACATGTAGTGTGTGTTAAAGTTTGTTCTGGTTATTCTGCCGTAGGTTTAAAATACACACAGTGTTTAATTTGTTATAGCATGAAAGAACAGCGTTGTTAATCCAATGATTAATGTTTGTTTTGTTTTTCAGGCCAAAATGCTCGAGTCTTCGCACGCCTGGCTAGGAGCTTCGACGTCTTCTTTGGCCGGTAAGGACTATTATCGTAACCCAAGCTCGCAGAGTGACCATTCGACCTCGAAACAAGATCTAATGAGATTGCGGTCTCTTCCAGCAGACAGTTACCAGTACCAACTGCAATCGATGTGGCAGAAGTGCTGGAACACGAACCAGAGCCTGGTCCACAACCTGAGGTTCCGCGAGCGAGGGCCACTCAAGTCCTGGAGGCCGGAGACGATGGCTGAGGCGATCCTGTCCGTTCTGAAGGAAGGGCTGAGCCTATCACAGGCAGCGAGGAAATACGACATCCCTTATCCCACCTTCGTCCTCTACGCCAACCGGGTTCACAACATGCTAGGACCGTCTGCTGACGGCGGATCAGGTAAATTCGGCAATTTATATATATCTCAAAAGACAGTACTTCATGTCTACTGAAGTCGTTTTAACCTAATAGAAATCCAAAGTTCTTTTTGACCCTAACAACCAATACAACATGTACTTAGGTACAAACTTAGCAATTATTGGAACTTTAGATAACAAGACTTATGTAAGCGGGTAGTTAAAGGTAGATAACAATTCCATGTAAGATTATTTTTCAAAAGAGTGAATGTCGATAGGACTATTCAAAATTGAAGTACCAAAGAGAGATCGATATGCTGCCCGTTGGAGCCATTTTTATTTTCTGATCGAAGTCGAACTATTTCAATCTATTAATTTTTGATCATTTTAATGACTTAAATATCGTTTTTGATCGTAACACGTGTGAACAATTTAAAAACTAAATCGAACGTGGTTCACTGTTTAGAGACAACGCTTTTAATGGAAAACCTGTGTCGAAAAGGCTTTTAACACCTGTTGCATTAAATATAACTAATCGTGTATGTGTGTTATTCAATACATTTTAATTAACATGGTTATTTAATGTTTTATCTCAGTCAATTGATGAAAACGGTACCTCTCGAATAACAAAATCAGGGTCGTCCTGCTCCGATTCATCCGCCCACCCCGGTGTCGGTTCATTTATATCAATGCAGGTGTTAATAGAAATTATTTTCCCGATTCCACTCTATATAACAAAGTCAACCGCACTTTGTGAGTGGCTTAATTAAGGCAGTAATTTTCAATTTTCTCGGCTTGTCGAGACTACGACATACGGGCTGAATTGCAAATGCTTAGAAAGTGCATAAGTTAGACGTCGTATGAGACTTCCTTCCGGTTCTAAAGACAATCTTACCACGACGAGACAATAGATTCTTGATGACATTTCTTCAATTTGCATAAATTCCTTTACAGCTTTCCTTATCCCGTTCCATCACTTTGTCCTTCACTTCTAATAAATAAGACTTCATGAAGTGTGTTGAGTTCATGGTCCGATTTGGATGTTTTCAGATTTGCGGCCGAAAGGACGTGGCCGGCCTCAGAGAATTTTGCTCGGCATTTGGCCCGAAGAACACATACGCGGTGTCATCAGGGCTGTCGTTTTCCGGGATCCGCAACACATGAAAGACGATACAATGAACCTCGGCTATCATAGACTGCAGCAGGTAATCTATCAGACTTCACTATTTTCTTCTCAAACCCTCTTATATAACTGTTTAAGACACTGAGAATTGTCTTCTTATTTTGTTAACTTAAGCATGTCCTTGATTTCTTCTCTTGCACTAATCTTTTTCCATTTCCGAAACTCACCACCGACAATGTGTGTTGTGTGCTGTTACATTTCCACTTTTATCTGACCAAACTATAGAAAACACAACTCTGCGGACAGGAAGTTGCGCATAACTACAGCAACAGCGGCGGCGGTAGTGGTGGAGGCAGCGGCCCCGGAAGCGTTGCCGGTTCGGATTCGGTCAGCGCCGGCGGTGTTTCGCCGAATTCCGCAGCTGCGGCAGTCGTCGCAGTCGCCCAGAATCTGAGGCAGCAGATGCTCGCAGCAGCAGCCCAGCAGCATCATCACCACCACCACCAGAACCACGCCCAGCACCACCCGACGGCCCAGGAGCACCAGCAGCCGTCCCACCTTCACAATAGGTCGCCCAACTTCGGCTTCTTCGCTGCAGCAGCTGCACACTGCGCTAACGGCAACAACCTCGTCCTCCACTCTCCGAGCCCAGTCGACAGCTCGCCCAGGTCGTCTCCTCTCACCCAGCCCAACAATAATATGGAGGTAAGTTCTAAATCATTTCTTTTCTTCTTCCTCTTTTTCTTCTTTAATCTAAAAATTCGATTTTCACCGCTTTCACGGCCAAAACGGATATTAACTCCCCACACGTGTCTAAAAACCAATCACCATCGATACCAAGACTTCCATTCTTAAGTAAATGGGAAAAAAATTTAATTAAGATAAATTAGTATGAACTCTTCATGTATAAACTATAGGTATAATCACTACTGAGTAGGAAATTAATGGCAATTCATTAAATACAAAAAAGATTTGTCATATTTTGATTGTCCCGTGTCCTTTTCTGTGTGATGAGAACAGGGAGATCAGAATGATCAGTAACAATCGAGCTACAGAAGCTACAGCCAAACGTTCAGTCCTCACAAAAGTGCTTATTCACTTTACTATTATATTTTATGCAATATATTATTATATTATTATCACTAATATAATATTTATTATCTCTCCACCTTTTTCTAAAATATCACCATCTTTGATACCAAGACTCCATTCTTAAGTAATCATTCATCATGATCACTACTGAGTAGGAAATTAATGGCAATTCATTAAATACAAAAAAGAATTGTCATATTTTGATTCTCTCTTGTACTTTTCTGTGTGATGAGAACAGGGAGATCAGAATGATTAGTGAAAAGCTACAGTCAAACGTTCAATCCTCACAAAGTGTTCACTATATATTCACTTTAGTATTATGTTTTATGTAATATATTATTGTCACTAATTTAATATTTCAAATGTGAAAAAAGTCTGAACAGTAATCAATAGTTATAAAAACTATATTTTAAAAGTTCAAGATTCAATTAAATTAGACATGACACAAATATTTGGTTGATTTGGATAAACACCATAGGCTCCTTAAACTTCCGCATATGGCAAATTTTAAGACTTTTGAAGCTTATTGATGTGCAAAAACAAAAAGCCTGAAGTAAAGATCCTGACAATTTCAGATGGCTCTTAACATGGGATTTAAACCGATGGTCAACGATTTGTCGTCGGCACCCAGAAACGAGCATATGTTCCAAGAAGAGATCGAAGATTTGGTCAAAAGGCCGCAATCGAGCGAGACCCCTAAGATGAAAGTGAGTCGATTTTTAAATTAAAGATAGAAAATCAACTCGGTCTTTCTGTGCTCTTTTATAAAAAATGAAATCAAATCTTCAATTTCAGCCCCCGCTGATGCCATATAAATTACAGAATACTTCCATGCCCAACGACCTGTCTACAAGGGCGGACCACATGTTCCAGGAGGAGATGGAGAACATGATGAAACACCCACCTGTATCCGAAGCTGCCAAAGTTAAAGTAAGTATTTAAATTAATTTCAAATAAAATATTTAATATATTTTCAATTAGTGTTAATTGATGTGACAATTACAGGTTGGCATCGGTGTCAGCAATGTGAGCTTGCCTTTCAAAGGCCAGTGCGAATCATACGGACCGCCAAGGACAGAATCTCTGTTCCAAGATGACATTGAAGATCTTGTGAAAAGCCCGCCATCCAACGCCAAGAAAGAGCCTATCCAGATGTCCATCGACATGACGACAAACGTCTCTGAATAACTTGAACAAATCAAAGCTCTGTGGTACTCTATTGAACTGTAACTATTTTATTAGTTCCTCAATTTCGGGAGAGAGAAAAAATTGCAAACAATTACAAATTAAAAAAAAAAAAAATTACCAACAAACTTACTTTTGAGGAAGATGGGATTGAATATCGTTCGTGTGAAAGCTGTACAGTGAAAGGGTACAAGTTTGTTATGTCTAGCGTTTGGCATATTGTATACTGTTATCAATATAAGATTCCTTTATAATATTGTCTATTTATTTACTTTTTATATAAAAAAAGAAAAATGTAAGATAAGACTTGGTCGTATACAATATCAACTATTTTTTAAGTTAAATCTGTACTAAAGTACAACAGTAGGTTTGCAGTGTAGTATTATTGTATTTATTGTTTAAGAGGTTATTTAATGTTATCAGAATTATATGAAGATAATGAAAATTGGTATAAAATATCAATCCTTCAATTGTATAAATAATTTGAATCTGTGAATATGTGAATAACAATATTGCTTTTTTTTTTAATTACTGTGTATCGCTTATTATTCATTATGTAATCATTTGCACAAGTGATATATATGTCTCTGGGCATTCGGGATTGTGTAGTTGTGTATCTCCCTCGGTAGTATAATTTTACTACTAGTCATTTTGAATAAAACAAAACTTGATCTGATCAGCCATCACACAAGGTAGATATGTATACTTTGTTATCTATATCCTCTAATGTTACGTTAATTATTACTTAGTTTTCCATATTGATTATTGAGAATCACCGCGATTCGTATAAATTATAGCTTTCATTTAGTGACATCGGCTAATTGTGATCTGAATCGAAGTTTAAGACATCAGTTTTTTTTTTTTTTAATACATTTATTTCTGTGGTATTGGATTACTGAAAAATAATTAATTGTTAGGGGGGGAAAGAATGTTTAATATTGTGTAAACTAAGCTAAGGTATTCCATTTGTTGTGTTTATATTTATTTTAAGGTAAAAATAAGAACTTCTTCTGGATACCAAATATTTAATCGTTTTTAACCATTATAATTTATTTTAAATAAGAATTTATGTAAATAATGCAGACTATATTGTAGGGTATTTTATAGAAAACACTCTATATGAACTAGTTACAGAAAAAAATTATAAATAAATATATATATTTATTGTATGTCAAAAGATATTAGTAACTCTATAAATAGATTGTGAGTCTTATAACTGACCTGTAATTAATGGTCTACCTGTATTGCATTACTGCTATAAACAAATAAACTGATTTCTTTAGATTACAAAGGCCAATTTAAATTTATGTACAACCCATAACGGCTAATGTTAATATAATTTAAAAAAAATAAAAGAAAAACGAGCACAATTTCATGTTGTGGGATAATTTCATGTATCTGTTATTTACTTGAAGCATAATTAGAACACTGCATTATAATTATATAGATTAGGTGCATCACAGACACATAACAGTTATGCAAATGTGGTTCCATAAACCTGGCAGAATGATGTTTAAATATATATTTTCAAACTGTTGTTTGGGCATACTACATATATTTTTATTTAAAAAAGTATAATATTTAAAATAAAAGGAAAATTCACACAAAAAAATCAAAATTCGCCAAATAAAAATTCTAAATTTCATTTGTAAAAATATCGTGTAAATTTGGGATGAGTTTAGACTGCAATTGCCTTCCTAAAATCACAACATGTTGCCCAAATATAGATGATTTAGATAAGTATTTGTGAAATTAAACAGAATTATAATAAATATAAAAAGAAAGATAATGTAAATATATAAATAAGTATGTATAGTAACTGTCATTGTGTGTAAAAGTAAGCTTATGTAATATTGTGTTAACAATACATGTAAGAGTAAAGAAAAAAAAATCTTATAATTAATGCTTCCTGAAGGAATCTCAGCGCTACTGCGTTCCATTATTTATCTCATTTATACAAAATATGACTGTTGTTATCCATTATGCGGTGGTTGAACCAAATTATAATTAATGATAAGATAAAGTGAATTTTAACAAAATACATATGATATGCAATTAGTGACCCAAAATGTAAATAAAAATCGTAAATATATATTAAGAAAATGGTCAGAACTATTAATGTATTTACAAATTAATGACATTTATAGTTCCCTAAAATGTTACTCGGCCAAAACATTTTCTCTCCATTCATTTTTCTTCATAGGTATCCAACTACTCAAAATATTAGCATATACTTGATATCTGCACGGACTGGAGAATATTTTATTTTACAACTGTATTAAAATAAAAAAATTAAAAAAAAGAAATAATTTTCAAAGTACATCTTGAAGTCTTATATAAATATAAAGTCAAAAAATTTTGTATAACGTTATGATATATTTAATTGTGGATATCAAGCAGATTTACAGACCAAATAGTTAGTTGAAGATTAGAAATGCCACATCAACATTGTAGTTTAGTAGTCTAGTCTGAACATTTTAAAGCAATATTTTCTTAACAATCATCTGTGTCAATATATGAGGCCCGGATAAAAAGACACTTGAAAGAACTCAACAGGACACCTATGGTTAAAAAAAAAAATCTGCTATTCTTAACAAATAGGCTAGTTGGAAAGAATGGGAAAAGAATTGGCCTCCGTGGACTTATTGGACAGCTTTTGAATAAAATTGTACAGACAAATGGCCTGTTAATTGCTCCATGCAAAAAGCAAATTGTTTTAGGATCATACATTAGTGCCTACAAATGAAGTATATTTCTTGTAAATTTTGTGACTTGGCGAATTCCTCCTCCCTCTTCCCTTAGTTTCGGCTTGATGGACCTGTGTTCAAAAATTTGACAAAAAAAAGTGCCTTCCATTTTCTGACCATTTCTTCTATGTTGTTTTAATTTTAACTATTGATGAAGTTTAAAAAAGAAGAACTAAAAATTGATTTTATTATTTCACAAAAGTATATTTAAACAAAAAGGCTATTAATGACAAAATTAAAAGTTTTTTAAAAAAACGTCAACAATATTGTTTGTAGGCATAGTTTTGACCTTATAATTTATCTTTAACATACAGGAAATATTATCGCAGGCTAATGGATTTTTAGAATGTATCATTGTATAACTGTGTTAGCTGCATTCTATAAAATGCAATAAAATTATGTACACATAAATGAAATCAGTCTGTTTTATTTTCCTTCCTATGACAAATCCTACTGAAAATGAGCAAACCAGTCAGTAAGTATCCAATTTCAATTAATATTTGCAAAATGAAGAGTTTGGTGTTTTAATACGGTGAAAAATGACCCCATCATGCATGTTGAAAAAGGTTGCTCAATGTGCCCCCAAATTTATTGAACGGTGTCATAAACTTGACTCAGCAATGACATCTACTGTTCCAATTTCGGGGGAAAATTGTCAACTTCTATTGTATATATTTTATTTCGGAGATTTATGCTGGGTTATGAACCTGTGATTGACTCACTGATCATCAAACAAGGTACTTCCCGAATAGCGTGAAATTTGTTCAAAAGTTTTTCTACAGCAAGTAAAGGAAAAATCTGAAAATTGCAATTTTCTCAAAATTAGTATCGCTAGTTGGAGTGTAATTTCACTGTCAAAATTATAAGGCACTTTCTAAATAGCTAGAATATGAAATTCGGTAAAATGGTAGGGTTTATGTTGTAAATAAAAGAAACAATATGAAAATTGCATAAGTTAAAATGAAGGAACAACTTTTGTATTCTCTTTAATACAAAAAAATATTGGCCAGAAGCCACTGAATAGTTTTGTAATTTACACAAGTGAATTTTAATAGTACAAAGATATATTTGTGAATTTTTCCATTTTATCTGCGTGGTGACGAAACTGCAGTTTGGTCGTTCTCAATCATTTTGGTCTGCTTATATTCGAAAATGATCGGAAACGACCAAATTTTAAAAGACTTCAATTTTATCATTTCATCGTTTTACTATTAAAATATATATATATACACGTTTTCCAAGATCCCATTTTTAATATTTACAGTTTTTTGTTTTATAAAACATTTTTACACATTGCAAAGTAGTTTCATATGTTAATTTTTATTTGGTCAATCAATTGTTTAAATTTTTACCAGATAAAGTTTGTTATTTTTTTTTTAAATAAATACTCTCCTAGGTAGAAACTGCAGGTAAATCACTTGATCAAGTTAGGCAAATAAAAAAAATGTTCAACTTTATAATTGCATCTATAAGTGTGATTCCATTTTCCATTGCAGAAATATTGGTTAGCATGTCTAAAAGAAACACAGAAAGTTATCGACCAAAGAGGCCAATCAGTGCTTACATCTATTTCGTTAAAGAGGAGTTCCGAAAGCAAAAAGGTGTCGACGTAGCGACAATGGGAAGACGATGTGCTGAAAAATGGAGTTCAATGAATGAGAGCGAAAAACAAAAATATGTTGACAAGGCTAGTGCAGATTTGAGACGTTACAATCTTGAAAAGAAACACATCGCTCCAAAAAAGAAGCAAGGACGCAAGTAAGTATTCAACAAAAAATGCATAATTTTTTCTTTTATTCAGGATAAATTAATAAAACTTCATTTTGATTATTTTGTCCATTAAAATTGAATTAAAGTAATGAATGATTTTAGTAGTATAAATAATTTAGACTTTATACTTTTTAAAATAGAAGTTCCTAAACTTTAATTGTTACTTGTTTCTTACAGAAATGCATACTTGATTTTTTATTTGTCACAATTTTCAAAAGTGAAGAGTGAAAATCCAACATTTAAATTAACCGAAATCGCCAAAGAAGTTTCAAAAATGTGGAAGGCTCTGGAGCCAACGGAAAAAGAGAGATACAAGCGGATGGCGGAATTGGAAAACAGTAAAAATCAAAAGAAAGCCCCAACGATGAAAGTGAACCAGGCAAAGAACAAACAAAGGCACCACCACCAGCTCAGTCTTAACAGTGCCACTTTTCCTTTAGAAGACATGAATGAAACATACGAAGACGTCGATTTGATGGATGAGCTAGATGAAATGGTTAGTAATTGAATAACGGAGAATGTTTTGCAAATCACTTAGAAATTTTTTTTTCAGATCTAGAGCGCAGAGTGAAAATGAGTGTTTTTTATTTTTATAATTTTATAAAAAATTGTTGTACCAAATTAAATGAATTTTAACATATTCTGGAATTACACAATACAAAGACTGTAAAATTTATAATTTTATATTTTACCTTGTACAACTTGTAAAATAAGGATAAACATAAAAAAGTAAATTCTTTGTAAGATAGCCTAAAAATTCACTAATTTTGTGGTCCGCTTGACCAATTAATACATTACAATTAATTAAGGTTTTTAGTTGAGAGGAAAAAAAGTTAATGGCACGAGCAGGATTCGAACCCGAAAAATGGCAAAAAGGAGGGAAAACTCATAAGGTGGGGTTGAGACAAAAAGTTGATGTCCGAGTGGATCGAGGTCACGATAGCTCAAGTGGTAGAGCAGCGGCGTATCTAGCCGAAGATCGTGGGTTCGAATCCCGCTCGTGCCATTAACTTTTTTTCATCTCAACTAAAAAAAATATAATAGTCATAGAATGACGCTACATGAAAAGGATAAAATATAATGTTAAACGAATGAAACATCTTAGAAGATACATAATGGTGATTTGACATGAATTTAATCCATGGCAAACAAGGATAGACCATCTTGACCTAATCCAACCAATCCAATATTCTAAGGCCATTTGTGTATGTCTTTTTTCCATTTTTCATTAATGTTTCTTGCTAATAACTTTTTAAAGCCTTCAAAAATGAATAGTGATCCTTGTAATTTAATCTTATTCTATTAATTTTAATTAAATTAACCAATATATCCGTGTTAGTTGGATAAAACAAAATAGAAAATATAAACCAAAAACAAGCAAATGTTTAATCCTCATTTTTAATAATGGATTTACTTAAGAATAGTAAACATGAAGATTTCGCATATTTTATCCATATCAATCCAGTTGTATTCTCTTTAACCATGGAAAGACATCATCTTGAACCATAAGTAAGCAATATTATTATGAGAATGAGACATTGAGGTCACCGGCAAGTGATATCGCAGAGGCAATTGGCGTTTCTCAGAGCATGGTCTCCCGATTCAGAGACTGGAAATGCCAATAGGTGGCCTGGTAATGGATCTCAGTGCTTTACGATGCTAAGTGAGGACAGAAATATTGTCATTTCTGCAAGATAGAACTCTTTCCAGTGCCCGCCAGATCCATCAAAACTTCCATTGTGGCACCTGTCCACTTTCGCTTCCCCAGAGTCACTTTTTTTATAAACATGAAAATCTAATTTTGAATTATCCATTATCAAATTATTATTTTTTACTTATATTAGTTACATGCTAAGATTATGAATCTATACAAACAAACTGTTCAAAAATGAATAGGGATGTTGCCAATCCTTTCCCTAGCATTTTAATTTTATTATAAATTGCATTAAAATTTATTAGAAATTATTAAGTTTTTACCGAAGAAAAATTTAATTATAAATAACAAAATAAAAGTAATAAAAGGAGGGAAAACTCAAAAGGTGGGGTTGAGATAGGAAGTTGGTGTCCGAGTGGATCGAGGTCACGATAGCTCAAGTGGTAGAGCAGCAGCGTATCAAGCCGAAGATCGTGGGTTCGAATCCCGCTCGTGCCATTGACTTTTTTTATCTCAACTGAAAACCTTAATTAATTTCAAAATAAAAGGTTTTAATTCCTTAATTTTGTTTATTGGACACTAAGTTTTTTAAACAATTAATGCTGTCCTAAACAATTAATGTTAAACAATTAATGTATGATGTCCTATGTTATCTAAAACCTCTGTGCACCTGTTCAGCATAGTATTAATAAGGTTGTCACTAATTTCATAAGGAATTTCACGTCCATAGATGTTGCATCACTGCACTCAGTTGTTGTACAGGTCAACTGACTGTGGATTGTGATCAAAAAGCTTTCTTTGCAACGCATCCCACATGTGCTTAATGGGATGGAGATCTGGAGAAAATGGGTAATGGGGCAGATGGGAAATTCCCAGGTTTTCTAAACACTCATGAACAACTCTGCTTCTTTGAGGTCTGGCATTGCCATCTAGAAATTGAAAATCCCTGCCAATGAAATCCCTGGTTTGGGGGATGAATTCCTCAATAATTTCATGGACATAACGGACTGCGGTGAAGTTGCCTTCAACAATATGGATTACAGTCCGTCCTCCAGTATGGTATGGTAAAAAAGGATACTAGGAAACGGGGTTTGCGCTCCCCAGGCACTGCAGCCTTCTGGCTTATTGTACCTTCCTAGTTCCTAAGCTCAGTGCAATAGACTCAATCCTTCTCCTTAGAAGTATCAGGTCATTGACTGTCGCTGCTGCAATTTGATTCCGTAAGTTTTTTCTGTATGTTAGGTTAAATCTCCATTGAGCTGTTGCTTCGCATTCGAAGATGATATGAGTGTCTGTTTCTTCTTCCTCATTCATAATCTGCAAATGAGATCATCGTTGTATATGCCCATGTGTAAATGTTTTCTCAGATGCCATCCCCCTACATCACATGGTAGTAAGGACAGCACAGAAAACCATCATCAACTTTATCAGAGAGAAACCTCTAACAGGAATAAAACTGAAATGGAGAGACAGTAACTATAGAAAGACCACCCATCACTCATGGCTCCAAGAGACGACATGAACAGGATGTTTGAATTTAACCAAAAATTCCGAATATATCTGGGTTCCAAAAAAGAATGGGAAAGAAAGAGAAATAACTCCTTTAAAAATGGCACCATCCTCTGGTACACAGATGGATCTAGAACACAAGAAGGTACGGGGGCAGGNGGAATGAAAAGGCGGATGGCCTAGCCAAAGAAGGTTCTAATACTGCGTTTGTCGGGCCACAACTGGTATTACCTCACTCTATGAGCACAGTGAAAGAGAGTATCAACAACTGGGGCATGAAACAATTCCTTAAGGAGTGGAATTTATCCCCCGGACACAGGCAATCGAAAGAATTTGTTAAGGCGATCAAACCTGCAGAATCGAAATGGCTTCTCTAACTCAAGGAAGGGAATTAGGATGATAGATATTCTGACGGGCCACTGCCCACTGAGAAGACACCTCTTCATAATGGGTATCCTACCAGATCCCTTTTGCTGCTTCTGCGAAACAAAAGAAGAAACGGCAAGGCACTACCTCGCAGAGTGTGATAGGTATGCTAGGTCGGAGAGAGATATTTGGAGTTCTTCAGCGTAGAAGTGAAACGTGCAATATTTAAAAATATAAGGAAGATCATTAATACAACAACAAAAGAGGAAGGTAGGAGATCTGGAGCCTTGAGGAACACCAGTGATGGGCACAGGTGAGGAAGGAGGTTCGCCTATGCGTCTTGAAACCTCTTAATACAGCACAATCACCTTTCTGACCAAATCTGTGAATCATTCTAGACATGTGCACCAATTGCTAAAAGATTTTATATTTTATAAACGTGTTCAGAGAATCACATAGGCACACTGAAGAGTCGAAATTCCGAAACGCGTCTCATATACCAAACCAGAGAATATTAAAAACTGGCCTATGAAACAATTCCTTAAGGAGTGGAATCTATGGACACAGGCAATTGAAAGAGTTTAAGGTGATTAAACCGCAGAATCGAAATGGCTTTTCTAACTCAAGGATGGGAATTAGGAGGCTGATAGGTATCCTGACGGGCCACTGCCCACTGAGAAGACACCTCTTCATAATGGTATCCTACCAGATCCCTTTTGCCGTTTTTGCGAAATAAACGAAGAAATGGCAAGGCACTACCTCGCAGAATGTGAAAGGTACGCTAGATTCGAAATCTTTGAAGGAGCGGACATCACCAAATCAGTCCCCGAGATAAAATGGTCCAAAATCTTGGGGTTTGTGAACAAGTCCAAGAGATTTATGCAGGACACGTGAGCCGGCCAAGTCCCGTACCTTTTAGGGATGGGGTACGAGACTACCCCTCGAGTCTTGGTCGCCCACCCTGCATAATATATATATAACCTCCAGCAGAAATTTCCAGACTGGTGGAAACTATGCCGAGGCATCTTCGAGATGTAATTAAGGCAAGAGGAGGAAATACGCGATGTTGAAATGTTAATTAAAAATCTAAAATAAAATTTAAACAAGTTTTATCTGTCCGCCTTTTTTTTTCTTTTTCCTTAACAATTTACTTTTTTTTGCTTTTTTAGACAAAGATTCAATCATTAAACGTTAAAAAACGTGACACTTTGATTAATATATATATATAAATTTAAAAAAATCAAGTTATATTACAAGTGGGTGGAATTTTTTGCCTGTCAGTGTTACAGGATGCTTCTAACTTCTCAGGATGCTCTTCATTTTTAAACGAAACGGACAAAAAGAAGACGAGTAAGAACGGGCTGTCGAACCGGCCGGCAGAGCGCGCCGTCTCTGCCCTCAGAAAATCAATGACATTTCAATCAGACCGAGAATTAGAATTTTTATAAAAACCCGCCTCTTCGGAAAATTCCGGGCGACGTTTTTGACGAGGTGAAAATTTTCTCAAGCCGTTCTCGTCGAGTGGACGCAAGCCGGCGGGAAAGTGGAAAAGCGTCGCCATCGAGTAAAAACCGGTGCCATCCCCCTCGTTACGTCCCGAGATGCATGCGCGCTGTCGAGTCGGTTCGAGGGTTGTCAATCTCAGGGGCTGAGTTCGCGTTTGAAAGTCTTTCTCGGCTCGGCGTATTTGACGCGAATCGCTTTGATCGCACCAACGGAGGAAATCGGCTTAAAGACGGAAAAGTGGCACTTTTCCGGAAAACAATCGAATCAATAAAGCCTAAAATAAGGCTCGGTTGACCCGATTTTCTCGACGTCCGACCTTGGCGTCGTCTTTTTCATCTCTGTAATCGACACCGGTAAGTTTTCTATCAATTATCCGACCTTTTTACTCGAAACGATCCGATTTTTTCTACATTTTCCGACCGTCTGCGGAGCGGATCAACCCCCGGTTTCGGCTTTTCCGTAAAGCGGCGGTGGACGTCACCCCCTTCGGCCGATCCTGGAAATTGATCCGCCCGGAAAAACAGCATGTAAGCGTTTAACGGACCGCTTTTTCCGTGACATCCATCGAAAAAAACTTTATCGACTTTCTTTCGAAAGAAATCGCCCAAATACTAGCATCTCCTTCGATCCTCCATTTTAACGATTAACAGCGTCTCGGGCGGGACTCCAGCGTCCTCCTGCACATCCGTACGCCCACAATTTATATTTTAAAACCGAATATTTTTCATGTCATAATCTTGTATTACTCGATAACGCCGAACGTTTCGACTCGACTCCAGGCTCGTTTTAGGTTAAAAAACTTTCACATTCGTTATCTTTTCTCATTTTCGAGTCTACGAAATATTGCACTCCGGACTGCTGATCTTTGCCGCAGCCCTTCCAGCTGTCCGTCCCTACTGCAATAGGCGTCCCGTGGACACTTTCCCATCAGAGTCATTCTATTGAACTTTAGATTGCCTCTGAGCATTTTTTTCAAATTTGAGAAAACTGTCCGATTTTGTATCAAACGTTATCGCGGTTCACGACGACGTGCAGATGTTTCCAGAATTCCCGACCTCGATGCTTGCGTTTTGAAACTCACGAGTTTCAACCTTTCCGAGTGCCTTATGGTGAAAACCCTTTAAAAAACTTAATTTTATACCAATTGAACACAATATCTGAGAATATTAAAATCCGAAGGAAAAACATCAGGTAATTTTTTTAGTTTAGGCAATTTTTTAGGTTTATCATTGTAGACAGTCTATTGTAATTTGATTTTAACTAATTTGTATTCTTTAACTTTGTCATTTAGTGTAGGTACAAGAAAAAACACCCCGACCTAACAAACAATCTTAACAAAACTTCAATTTAATGACTTACAGAAGTAAAAAATCATTGACAATATGTTACAGGGTAATTACTAACCATAAGTTACAACCAACCATAATGAGACAATTGGCATTTTATGCTTATCCGGTTTGATTTTACAATTTTCCTTTTTGTGAAAGAAATCAATATGAAAAATCATCCTTTTTTTTATTAGAATTATTTGTACATTACAGCAAGTTCCAGTTGACATCTACACTCTCTATTTTACTTTTCTCCCTGTTTTACACACTTAAAAACAACATTATTAAAAATTTACTAAATTAATTTTGCAAGATTCTCTCCTAGGAGGTGAGAAACCTGCAGTTTGGTCATTCCCAAACATTTTGCTCTTATTTTCCTCGCTGTTTGGGTCTGTTAGATACATTTCGGCTTCAAACTAAAAACAATTAGGACTAAAAAAACGCTTATGAACCCAAATAAGTCAACTTCATTCTGCTCAGCAAGTGCTAAAGTATGCATGAGGTTTCATTTTCAGGTCTGCGGGTTGATGAATGGTCATATCCAATCATTTTGGTCTTCTTTTCCTCACTGTTTTCGACTGTCAGATACATTTTGGCGTCAAGCTAAAAAAAATTAGGGGTGGATGACTTATAAATCTAAATAAGTCAACTTCATTCCGCTCAGCAAGTGCTAAAGTATGCATGAAATTTCATTTTCAGGTATAAGTGTTGATGAATATTTAGTTTGGTCATGTCCAATAATTTTGGACTTCCTTTCCTCGCTGTTTTGGTTGTCAGACACATTTTGGCTTCAAACTAAAAAAAATGAGGGGTGGATGACTTATAAATCCAAATAAGTCCATGTCATTCTGCTCAGCATGTTTTAAAGTATGCATGAGATTTCATTTTCAGGTCTGAGGGTTGATGAATATGTAGTTTGGTCATATCCAATTATTTTGGTCTTCTTTCCTCATTGTTTTGGTCTTTCAAACGCATTTTTACTTCAAGTTACAAAAAATGAGGGGTGGATGACTTATGAACCCAAATAAGTGAACTTCATTATGCTCAGAAAGTGCTGAAGTATGCATGAAATTTCATTTTCAGGTCTGAGGGTTGATGAATATGTAGTTTGGTCATGTACAGTAATTTTGGTCTTCTTTACCTCGCTGTTTTTGTCTGTAAGATACATTTCAGCTTCAAACAAAAAAAAGAGCTGGTGGATGACTTCCAAACCTAAATAAGTGAACTTCATTGTGCTCAGCAAGTGCTAAAGTATGCGAGAGATTTCATTTTCAGGTCTGAGGGTTGATGAATATGTAGTTTGGTCTTCTTTACCTCACTGTTTTGGTCTGTAAGATACATTTCAGCTTCAAACAAAAAAAATTATGGATGGATGACTTATAAATCCAAATAAGTTAACGACATTTTGCTCTGCATGTTTTAAAGTTTGCATGAGATTTAATTTTCAGGTATGAATGTTGATGAATATGTAGTTTGGTCATATCCAATCATTTTGGTCTTCCTTTCCTCACTGTTTTCAACTGTCAGATGCATTTCGGCTTCAAACTAAAAAAAAAAAAAAAAATGAGGGGTAGATGATTTATAAATCTAAATAAGTCAACTTCATTGTGCTCAGCAAGTGCTAAAGTATGCATGAGATTTCATTTTCAGGTCTGAGGGTTGATGAATATATAGTTTGGTCATGTCCAATAATTTTGGTCTTCTTTTCCTCGCTGTTTTGATTTGTAAGATACATTTCAGCTTCAAACTAAAAAAATGAGGGGTGGATGACATAAATCCAAATTATTCAACATCATTTTGCTCAGCATCTTTTATAGTATGCATGAGATTTAATTTTCAGGTCTGAGTATTGATGAATATGTAGTTTGGATTGGACCAATATCCAATCATTTTGGTCTTACTTTCCTCACTTTTTTTGTCTGTCAGATGCATTTTGGCTTCAAACTAAAGAAATGAGGGGTGATGACTTATGAACCAACTTCATTGGTTTATTTTTATTTTTATTTTATTTTATTTTATTTTTATCATACCCCCAAAAATTATGTGGTTCTACAGCAAGGGTAGTACCCAACTCAACAGAACTTCTTTTCTTTTATGATGGTATTTCAACTACAAATCATATGAACCCTTGGGATGTTTTTGAATAAAGCCCATTTGTTGTAAGTACGCTGGGTTCGAATGCAGGGCTGCTGGATTCAAACACGGGACCTTTACCTTACAGTGATGAGTGCCGAGTCATCACCTCAACCATTGCGGCCACCCACGCCTCGAAGGAAATTTCATTATGCTCAGTAAGTTTTATAGTATGTTCGAGATCTCATTTTTGGGACTGTAGAAGGTGATAAAATTGTTGTTTAGTCATTTTTGTCTTCCTTTTCTCATGGATTTGATCTAATAGATGCATTTTGCCAGGATCAAAACAGCTCGGCTGGGAGGACAAAACTGATTTGAAATGACCAAACAGATTTTGTTTTCACTTTCTGTTTTTGAAGAAAATAAAATATTTTAAGCCAGTACTATACGAATAGCCCTAATTGCTCTAGTTATTTATTGAACATACAGAGCTAATCCAAATTTAAAAAAATAAAAATAGGAAGATTGATGACTTACGTACTTATGAATCATTCAGCATAATCAAATCATTTGGCTTTCTGGACCTGCAGGTTGATGAACCTGTAGTTGGGTCATTTAGTGTATATGCGAAAAAAACACCCCGACCTAATGAATAATCGGTAAAAATATTAATTAAATGACACAGTGAGAAAAATTCATTGGCAATATGTTACATTACAATTACTCATCATAATGACAGTTGGCAGCTTATCCAGCTTGATTTGAAAATTTTCCTTCATTTCATCAATATAAAAAATCACCCCTTTTTTTATTGGTATTATTTGGAGATTAGTGCAGGTTCCAGTTGGCATCTACCTTCTCTCCATTTTACACACTTAAAAACTTAACGTTATTACAAATTTACTAAATTAATTTTGCGAGATTTTCTCTTAGGATCTGCAGGAGGTGATAAACCCATAGTTTTGTCATGTCCAATCATTTTTGTCTTCCTTTCGTATGGTGTTGTTCTGTCAGATGCATTTTGGCTGGACCAAAACAGTGGGGATGGGAAAGACCAAAATGATTAGTAATGGCCAAACTATTTAGTTTTCAGTTTCTTCATTTAAAGGTGCTATAGAAAAATATTTTAAGGTGCTATAGTAATAGCCTTATTTGTTCTGGGTGTCAGTTGAACATGCAGAGCTAGTCAACATGTGAAAAATCATGGGTGGACAACTCATAAGCCAATTTTTATTTAGAAATCATGAGATGTGGTCTGGTGTGATTTTGGTTTCAGAAAAACATTTTCTTTATCGTGCCAACGTTTCGATCTTTATTGAGATCATCTTCAGGGCCTGGGATTTACAAACATTGTTTACATATTACAATTACATTTTGGATGTGGAAAAGTGATAAGATTCATAAGCCAATAATCATTAAGAAAAATCTGTCAACTTCATTATGCTAATAATTCTAAAATGTGAGATTTTCTCATATGGTCTGTAGGAGGTGATAAACCTGTAGTTTAATCATTTCCTATCATTTTGGTCTGTTAGTTGCATTTCAACTTGTTGCAAATATTATTGGTCACTGCGGCCAAAACAGCGAAGATTGGAAGACCAAAATGACTGGAAATTGCCAAACTAGAAGTTTTCAATTTTTCGGTTTTTTTTATGCAATGAAAAACAAAATATTTTAAGCCAGTGTTGCCTGAAATACCCTCACTGCTGAGGATAATCAGAGAGTGGTGGTTAATTTGTTAGTGCATAAAACAGTTTTTGGATTTTTAATTATATTGTAACTTAAATGTCATATGTCACACATTGATTGTGCATCATTTCACCCTGAAGCAAGATTTAAATCCTAGGAAAACATGAAATAATTCTAGAATGCAATGATTTTTTTATGTAAATTTATTTATTACCATCTCTATAAATATATACATTATGTATATTTACAATATTTATCATTTGCATCATATCCTGAGGGAAGCCAGTAACCACGCATTCCCTCGATGATTAAGGGATGAAAAATGAATGGCAATTTTTTGCTTTGTTCAATTCAGCTAAACAACTTTAAATAAGATTAGTTTTATCTATTTTAAATGATCCCAGTTTATGTTATTCTTGATTATTTATTTACTTTTGCATTTATTGGCTTTTAATATCAGCCTAAGCCGTGGATAAGATTCTATTTCAGTTCTGTGCCAGAAAACAATTGAGATTCGCTAGTACAAACTAAAATATACAGTATGAAAATCTCAGATTTCAACTCGATAGATATTTTGCCCAATTATTCAAGATGAACTTGTTTACAAAATGTTGATTTTGAGTACCAAACAATTTTCCTACATAAAATTTTTATAAAGTATATTGTATCAATATAATCTAAAACAATTGAATCCTGGAATTCTTCCAGGATATGTTTATGATGGTGTAATCTCACTGAAAATTTAACAATTGTAAAAAAACTGACAAGTTATGAAAGTTTTTAGTTATAAAATGGCAATTGTAAACATTTTGAACCAACGTTAAGTGGCCAATTAAGGATTTCCATTGATTGATTCATAAGATGTTGTTAAAAACCAATCGCAATGACGGATGATTATGTTTCAACGATGAATTGGGTTTGACACTGCATTTATATATCATGTCCGATGATGTACTGTAAAATCCTATTAAAGAATAATTTGTTCAATCAAAATCTGTTCAAAAGACAAAAGCGCATGAAATAAATTTCAACTCAAATGTTGGTCAGAAATTGTTTTAAGTAAGTTAGCATTCTAACACTTATGAGTATTATTCTATGTTA